AGTAACAATGAGTGTGTGTTCCATTATCTTAACTCATGTTTGTTTTTTTTTAAAAAAAATATTTTGGAAGGAAAAAAAGTTCAAACACAAACAAATTTGAAGAAGTGAGAAGAACAAGTTACCCGAGAGTTAGGATCTGAGATACTGTCATCCAATAATTCAAAAAATCTGCAAACAATATTAGATCCATTTTTATATTCAAGTTTTTAAAATGGATAACCTGAGATTAGAGAGAAGGGAAAAATAATAAAAATTAAACTTCGTTCTAAAAAATCATACAGAAACCCACATCAATTGTTTAAGCAAACTAATTATTTGTGGAAAAACAAACAAAATACCTTAGATGACTACATTGAAAGGATTGAATGGAAATAAATAAAGTAGAAAGAAGATACTTGAAAGAAAGAAATAAAAAAACGTTTGAAACTCATATTTACTTTTTTGTATTGAATAGTAGATCCATTATTGAGTTGATTTTACGAACTATTGAAAGAAGAGATTTGGAAGAAGAAATATGAACAATGGTGAAGAAAGCATGTTGAAAGAAGATTTTTGAAAGAAGATATCTAAACAATGGTGAAGAAAGTATGAGAAGTGAGACATCATATCAGTATGGTGTGTATGGGAAAAAATGGAGTTTGCAGAGAAGATTGAAAAATGGATAAGGAATAGTAAAATAAATAAAAAGGACTTGTAAAGAAAGGAGGTTTGCAGAGAAGATTGGAAGATGGACAAAAGGAAGAGGAAAAAATGTTGTATTCTTTTAATAATAAAAGTGAGGATTTTAGTGTTTAAATACCGAAAACCATCATTTTGGTGAGGTGGCAAAGACAGACAAAAGGGAAATTTTGAGTTTTCGAGAGCATCTTATTTTCTTTTATGATAGATTGTAATTCTCACTTACCTTAGTATATGAATATTGCTTTTATCTAAATTTATCAAATGTTTTCTATGTGGTGTTTATTTGTTATATATCTATGTCTTTTCCGCTTTTTGATAATTCCCAGAGAGAGTAGAGTTTGTTTTATTTATCCATGAATGAGAGCTTAACAACTCCAAGTTTTGCCATCAATATCTATATGTTTTATCACCCACCTTATGTGTTACTATCATAAAAAAGAGAGAGAATATGGTTCTATGTGTTGTGCAGACAAATGTCTTCTAAAGGTTTTGATGATGGAAATTTAATAAGAATGAATGAATACCAAGCATAATCGTTCAAGAGTAAAGCACAATACCAATTGTTCAAGTTTCAATTGAAGTGTTTAATCTAAGTTAAATTAAGTAATCAAAAGAAACTGAAGTTATGAAAGCTCGTATGGTCGTACGCTTAATTTTTTATCGTATACGTTAATCAGTTGATTGTAGATGAAGCAATAATAGCTTTTGAAGTACTAAGGTCACACACACGCGCGCACGCACGCACACACAAAAAGTATTTCAAACTCTTCGTCTTTTTAACTTGGTCTTAAAGTCTCCTTAGTCGAAGAATAGGTCATTTAAAACCATGAACAGTTCAGCTGAGGTTCAATGCCTAAAAATAGTTGTCAACCATAAGCGTAGTTGGATGTGGCACTTGAGGTTTAGCCATTTGAATTTTAGGTTACTAAATCAACTGATTATTCAATATATGGTAACTAGTATACCAAGTCTTGTGATTCCCGAAAAACTCTGTGAAGGTTGCTTAGCAAGGAAACAATCCAGAAAGTCTTTCATTTCGGCTATGCCAATGAGATCCTCTTGCATATAAGAAGTTGTACATTCATATGTATGTGGCTTATTTGAGGATCATACCATTGGTGAAAATGGGTGATTTCTCTCATTTGTAGATGAGTATAGTCAAAAGTTGTGGATCTACGTGATCAAACGTAAACACGAAGTATTATCAATCTTTAAGAGATTCAAAATGCTTGTCGAAAACTATATGAAAAGAAGATCAAGGTTGTGTGAACAAATGGAGGTGGCGAATACACATCGAAGATATTTGAATAGTTTTATGTAGAACATGGGATTGATCATGAGGTAATTGCTCCTTACACGCCTCAACATAATGGAGTAGCAGAAAGATGAAACAAGACCAAATTGGATATGGTGAGATGCATGCTAAAGTAGAAGAATCTGCCAAAATCCTTATGGGATGAAGCATCTATTACTGTTGTTTGTATTATAAACAGGTGCCCTACCAAGAAACTAAAGAATAAAGTTCTTGAAGAAATGTGGAGTGGCAAACGACCCTAAGTGAGTTACTCTGAAGGTGTTTGGCTCTATTTGCTACAAGCATGTCCCTGATGCAAGAAGAAGTAAGCTTGCTGGTAAAAGTGAATCTATGACTCTGGTAGGATATCATAAGACTAGAGCATACATGTTATTTAATCCTATCAATGATAAGATTGTGATGAGTCGAGACATTATGATATATGAGAACTCTGTCTGAGATTAAAATTCAGGTGATGCAACTAACAAGCCATTATTGAGTTATGGCATTGATGAAGAAAGCAGTCAGCACGAAGAAATTCCAATTAATGACACTCGAGCGATAGTCGAAATTGAAGTACATAATAGAGTTGAAGTCGAAACAAATACTAGAAAAGGTGTGGCTAGCACAATCCGAAGACCTTAAAGAACTATAGTTCTCCCAGCAAGACTTCAAGACTGTGAAGTGGTTAGTGATGATGAGGTCACATTAATTGGGGATATGGTCCATTTTGCTTTACTTGCAAGGGTTGAACCAATCAACTATAGTGAGACCTTAAAGGATAAATAAATGAAGGCAACTATGGTAGAAGAGTTACAAACAATCAAAATAAATAATACATGGGAGCTTGTCGTATTGCCAACACGTGCAAAAGCTATCGAAGTGAAATGGGTATTCAAGCTAAAGCACTATCCTGATCGGTCGATTGCAAGACATAAGGAAATATTTAATAGCTCGAGGATTTCTTCAAAGAGCAGGACTCGACTACTCTGAAGTGTATGCAATAGTAGCATGATTGGAGACTGTCAAATTAGTGGTTGCCTTGGCATGCAAGTAAGGCTGGTCGACATTTCACTTAGATATGAAATGAACATTTTTGAATGGTCCCCTAGATGAAGTCGTATATGTCACACAACCATTTGGGTTTATGATACAAGAGCAAACAAGGAAAGTGTGCAAGTTGCACAAAGCCCTATATGGTCTCAAACGGGCACCTAGGACATGGAACAAGAAGGTCGACTCATACTTAATCAAATTGAGATTCATCGAATGCAGGTGTGAGTATGGTGTCTGTGTACAGGTCATGGCACAAGATATAACCATCATCTGCTTATATGTCGATGATTTGCTAGTAACGGAAAAGTACATGAAGAGCTTGTTGAAGTTCAAAGAGCTAGTGAAGAGAGAATTTGAAATGTTAGATTTAGAAAAATTATCTTATTTTCTAGGCATAAAATTTCAAATGACAAAACAAGGTATGGTGCTACATCAAAGAAAGTATATCAAAGAAATACTCGAGAGATTTAGGATGGAAGACTCAAACCTTACATCCTCACTTGTCGATCCAAATATGAAACTAGAGAAACATGGAGAGGATGCCAAGGTTGACGCTACTCTGTTCAAACAAATTGTAGGATCTTTGTGTTATGTGTGCAATAAGAGACTTGATATAGGTTTCGCAGTCAGATCAGTAAGAAAATTCATGGATGAACCAAAGTGTCACACATGAAGGCTGCAAGAAGAATTCTGAGATACCTAAAAGGATCAATAAATTGTGGAATCATGTTTACTCGAGATTCTAAAAGCAAATAAGTTGTGATTAATTGTTATTCAAATGTTGATTAGTGTGGAGATAAGGAAGATCGAAGAAACACAACTGATTATTTTTTTTAAGTATTTGATGTCTCAATCTCATGGTATTCGAGAAAACAACTTGTAGTGGCATTATCATCCTGTGAGGCTAAATATATAGTAGGATCATATGTTGTTTGACAAGCAATTTGGATCAAATTTGTGCTGGAAGAGATGGAGGTTGAAGTAAAGAACCCTATGGTGTTGTAGATAAACAACAAATCAGCCATCAATCTTGCAAAGAATTTAATAATGCATGGGACGAGTAAGTTCATTAAGGTTAGATTTCATTTTTTAAGGGAAAAGATAAATTAAGATAATCTTGAAGTGTGATATTGCTCAAGTGAAGTACAATTGACCAACATTTTCACTAAATGATTGAAGATCGACAAATTCTTAACTTTGAAAAAAAAATTATAAATAGTTTAGATCGATTGTAATTAGTCTATGTTTAGTGACTTAGAGAAATGTTGTAATATAATTCAAACTTTTATTTTCTCTCTATTTTTTCCTCTTTCCTTCTCCATCTAAATTGTATCGGCACTAAGAGATAAAAACTTTAATGATATGCATCACTTCAAAAGAGAAAACTGGAGAGTTTTCCACAGGAGGCAATCCACTCCCTATCCTAACAGTGTTATTTAAAGTTACCATGGGCTGAAGCACCATATGTTGTCACAAGTAAGAGCGTCATTGCTAACTTTGACAAACGGGATCTTCAAAATTACCTAATTCATCAAACAATGAACCACATAAATATCATCCCAAGTCGAACCAAGCATAGGCCTTTAATAGATGTAAAGAAGAAGAAAATATCTATCTTACTCAAACAAACCAAACTTCTTGAACAGATGTAAAGTACTGGAATAAAAACAGCTCATCAACCAACACACAATAATTTTATCAATCAATTTTGAAAACTGTGGAAGCATCGACTATTGAATCGCATTTCCTTAGCCAATAGCTTCATATATTCCGACCCCAATGAATAGGTCGATTTTATGTGTTGTAGCGAATGCTTAAAACAAGTTAAAACAAATAAAAACATAATGTATGGAATTGAAATTTGGCGAAATGAAGTTTCATTAGATATCTTAATTGCTACATGAATACAAAAGATCCAAAATCTACTTTACATAAACCATAAACTAGATAAATTGGAAACAAAATGAACTCAAGTGCTAGTAAATTTCGTAACAGCCTTAGTTCCCTCGGAAACAGCATGCTTAGCAAGCTCGCCGGGAAGAACAAGGCGAACGGCAGCCTGAATCTCCCGAGAAGAGAGAGTATGCTTCTTGTTGTAACGAGCGAGGCTAGAAGACTCCTGAGCGAGCTTCTCGAAGATATCGTTGACGAAGCTGTTCATGATCCCCATAGCCTTACTGGAGACACCGATGTCAGGATGAACCTGCTTAAGAACCTTGAAGATGTAGCTCTTGTAGGTCTCAACGCTCTTCTTGCTTCTCTTCTTCTTTTTGTCAGTGGAGGAAGCGTCCTTAGAGATCTTTTTCTCGGCTTTGGCGACCGGTGCCTTCTCGGCGGGCTTCTTCTCCGCTGGCTTCTTCTCTCCCTTGGGCGCCATGGATGATAGAAAAGTGTGACACGAAATTGAAAGTTGAGAAGGAAAGTTTTAGCTGTGATTGAGATTAGTATTTGAATTGTGATTTGATAGTTGAGTGTGGAATTGTTTATATAGGAATGGTTGGTGGGCTCTGATTGGTTGGTTTTAGAGTGCACGGATTGATGAGGTGGATGCTGCATTTTGGTGGGAGTATTTTTTCTAGAGAGATATTTAGAAGTATGAGAATTTTTATTATTTTAACTTATAAATTTGATAAATACTTTTGAAAATGTTAATAAATTTTTGTTGTATCCAATAAATTTGAAAAGATATATTAAATTTTATTCATAAAGAGAAATCATATAGTATTTTATTATATTTTATCTGTTAGTCTAAATTTTTATATTTACTATCAATTTTATTAATCATAAGTGTTTTTTACTAAAGTTGTTAGTTTTTTTTAATAGTTTTCGATAATAGATATTGGACTCAAAAGATATTTTAAATTTTTTTTTAGTGATTTTAAAGTAGAATTCTTTATTTGACGTTTGAGTTCTCCTATTAGAAAAATCTCAAATTCGTCATGCATGACACTACAAAATTTTATACACAAAGTTTCATTAGTATAACCAAATATGATATTATCTACATATATCTAAAATAAAAGGATATGTGTTTTCTTACATTTTATAAGTTGAGTTGGTGTTCACAATACTATGATTAAATCTTTTCTTGAGTAAAAAATCACTAAGACATTCATACAAAGCTCTGTGAGCTTATTTAAGACCACATATAACTCTTCGAGATTAAAAATATAATCAGGATTTTCAAGGTCCTCAAAACCACGAGGTTGAGAAACGTACACTTGTATCATTTATAAAACTGTTAAAGAAGACAGACTTAACGTTCACCTTATACAACTTAAAATCCAAGCAGAATGTGAATGACAAAAGGAGTCAAATTGCCTCGAGACAAGCTACAAAAGCATATGGAGTCAAATCACCACTCGTACTTTATTTCTTATAATTATGTCATTTTCATCAAGCTTATTTTGGAAAACTCATATGGTGTCTATGATAGCTTTATTTTGAGGATGTGGGACAAGATCTCGATACATCCCTGAATTGGTGGATAAATGCTTGTATAATGAGTCAGACATGGCACATCTCCAAGTCTATGAACGATATAGGTTGCCTTAAGGCCGATATATCCAAGGAAATTTTTTATGGGTATTTATCATGTGACGTCAGCATATCCATACATGTCTCTTGAATGCAATAAAGATCAAATAATTAGCTATTATGGCTCTTCATAAAGATTAAATCGAATTTATGGATCTTGTCTCATACCATGTTAAGGAAATCAATATAAGTATGAGTATTCTTCAAACCAAAAATGCAGATTGAATTAATACGAAGAAGTGACATATTGTGACTCTTTCTAACTAGCATTATAAGAGTTATTTAGATAGTGTTCTTTATATGAACATTTCGCGCCCACCATGGGGATCTGTTAAAACTTGCATGGGACACATAAAATTATAAATCAATGAACTCATCATCCTTGTATGATAACGGCAAGCAATATGGAGGAACTACTTGTCGTCATGGAAAACATGTGCCACCAAAACGAGTTATTGTAAGGCAACGTGCATGCCTTGTAGTAGATTAAACTTCATCCTCAACTAAAGGATGATGACTTGGAATATCCTATCGATCAACAACATATTACTAAGGAAATCTAGAACGACCAAGTCCCATGTAATTTCAAGTTGTCTCGTTGGCCACTTTTGACATGAAAAGTGGCTCACACGAGAACAACATAACGGTCAACACTCATATGGCAATAATTGGAGCTACAAACTTACTTAAGAGCAAATTGATAGAGGCAACATTGAAGTATGACACCTTAAACTGGTACACGAGCATTCCTAGATTCTCCCTAAACAGCTATCAAGATCTGGTGAGGAAGATGATACATCAATTCTCCGCTAGCAAGCACATAAAATTGAGAACCACAAGCCTCTTCAATGTTCAACGGGTACACGGAGAGTCTCTATAACAATAACTAATTTGTTTTAATGAGAAAATCATCAAAGTTGCCTATATTAATCATGAGATGTTTTTATAGCCTTTCAGAATAGCTTAAATGCGAACATAATGGATGAGATAAATGTGCGAGCATAATGTTACATTAAGGGGGGAGAAAGTAATGTGAAGAAGAGGTCGAGATATGCGAGTGAGAATAGAGTGTCAAAGTCAGAGTCTGGCGCAAAAAGAAAACATAGGGATCGATCCCCCCGTAAGAAAGTGTCGTTCAAGACAAATTTAGGCCATGCAAGTATTTCACAATGTTAAACACAAAACTAGAGCGAATTGTGCAAGAGGTGTGAGAACAAGTTTGATTCTACATATACATACTTTTATGTTTTTATGATGACAAAGTATAGACTACAACTTTGTACTCTTACTGGTTGTTAAGTGTGTAGAAACTCAAAGTCTAAATAGAATCTAAATAAAAAAAAGAAAATGTTGATTCAAGCAGATTTTGTTCAAGAAACCTCTAGTGCTTGAAGGTGTGAAAAGTACACAAGAATGAGGGATTGAATTGTGTTTCGTGTTTTCTTTAATTTAGATTCTGATTAGAGTTTCAGAATCAGAACTGGTGTTCATATTCTATTTAAATTCATTGGCAGCGGATATAGTAGAAGTAAATAAATAACAACAGAAGACACAAAAGATTTATCATGGTTCATCCTTAACTGAAAGTACTTCAGTTCCCTTGCCTCACAAGAGATTTTCATTATAACCACTTTATGATTAAAATCGTGTATGCTTCTACATAAGTCTTTTACACCTACTCAAACCAACAGTCTAAGACTTTCTTTCTTAGAGCACATGTCTAAAACTTACCTTGCTCACACCTTCTGGCCGAGCCATCTGCTTCAAAGGTCTTCTGGTTGAGAATTACCCTTGCTTAAAGCACATGTCTATGACTTCTTGCTCACGCCCTCTAACTGAGCCACTTGCTCTTCTGGCCATCCAGGCTGAGACTTCCTTACCCAAGCAGCACTTGAGACTTCCTGCTCACGCCCCTCAGATGAAGACTTTCCCTTGCTCAATCAGACTAGTTGAATAAGACTTTCACAACTCAAACACTTAAGCAATGAGACTTATGTGGCTTAAGCCTATTTGCTTAAGACTTGTTGCTTGAATCCCAATGAGACAAGACTTTTGCTTAAGCACATATCAACAAGCTTGATCTAAACTATTGAAGGCTCAGCAAAATAGAGAACAAGGTGTACATGATATAAGTATCATAGGTACAAAAAATCACCATAACAAATACCTAAAGCTCTTAAGATTTCTAAGATATTCAATGGTAAGAAATCTTAAGGCTTTTACAATTACAACCTACAGCAGAAAATCTGCATATTACAATAGAGTTGATAATTGCTTGATCTTGCTACTCCTTCTTCAGAAGAATCCTTGTTAAGATTTAAACTATAATCTTTATCCATATTTATAGCCTTTGCAGAAACTAGCCGTTGAGGAAGTAACTTGTTCAAGTGTCTTTGTCTTTGCCTCATAGTACAAGAGACATTAAAGATGGATGCACGATATATTCTGAATCCAGTGTGTAACATGTTTAACTTTTGATTCTTCAAGAGGTTTTGTACTGATAGAGCCGTTGAGAGCAGATACTCGTAGAGCATGCGAACCTTTCTTAAGTCTTGCAATCTTGTAGACTCTAGCTGACAAATTGATAAGACAATACACCTTGCTTTCTCGGATAATCCACATCTTTATCACCAACTCTGAATGGTACCAGATGTTGATATAGAATTACCAAGTATATTAACTCGTTTAGATGTTGAGGCCTTCAGCTCAGAGTCTCCACCAAGCCACATATAATTGTTCTTCAGACTCTACCACCAAAAGCTACCAATGAAGCAAATCCCAAGTGTGTTCATGTAATACAGATTTTGATTATTTATATACAATGATGTAGAACCTGCATAAATAAAACGCACATCAAATAAATCATTGTTTTTTTTAATACTTTGTGTCGCACCCTAATTTTTGACCTTAAGATTCCACCAACTTGTGTGTTTTCTTGCATTTTATCTTTATATTTTTGTGTGCATGTTTATTATCACTAACGAGTGTGTGCAGGTTTATTTTGCTTTAAGGACGTCTCTGGGGGATTTTTTATGATTAGATCCCCTTAAATCAAGACTTTGGTCCCCTTTCAAGTTTTTCTCTTTATCAAGGAAAGTTTGTCAAGACAGGATCTGAAATCACAGGCTCATGGTATTTGAGACATTCATAGTGCAAGATAATTTGGATTCAAGATTTAAGGATCATTCATGTGGGTTTTAAATTCGAAGTTTGCAACTTAGTCAAGTGGCATTATGATGACAAGCTTTACTTTGACTTCAATTGGCACATTTCATGTAGATTGTTTTGGGTTTCAAGACTTTTGTTCTCCAACAAACTTGGTTTAAGTCGGTTGGTTTAAAGGTGTTTAACTAAGTAGATATTCCTCAATTTGCAAGTTCAATCTTTGTAAATTCAAGTCAAGACCAAAGTATACGGTTCTCCATCACAAGATTAATATGTGTTAGTCCATTACAATGCCATTTCTAGGAATCTACCATCAAGTTAGCAAATAGCACGTTTAAAACAAAAGGTTCCTGTAGAGTACTACAAAAACTTAGGATACTAGCACCTTCCCTAAGCTTAACCAACCCCCGAACCCTAGATCTCTCCCCGGATTGTGTTTACGATGCAAAATAGGTTTTTCCTTCCTTTAACCTTTCTTTCGAATAAATTAAAAGATCGGTTGTAAATGAATTAAGATTCAAGTTAACCTTTTCTCCAATATCCTTGCAATTGATCACATTTGCAGTCGCTTTAGAGGTTACTGTAAAAGTAAGACCAGTTACCCTAGACAGAATAGTATACTCTGAATTCAGCTCAACAATGAAGGCATTAATCCAAAAATCTTTGACAATGCTT